GCAGCTGTGAGCATCGGGCCGGCTCAGCCACTCCTAGGGCCCAGTCCCGTGGGGCTGGCGGTCCCGGTTCCCTGTCCAGGACGTCTCCCACAGGAGTGACTGACAGGGCGGGCCGGAGACCAGCTAGGTCAGCGGGGGAGAGTGTGGGACACTCTCTAAGGCACTTGTATTTACTTCTTTCCGGAGACGCACAGCAGCGCAGGGTGGTGACAGGAGAGCGATTGACAGCCTGCCCCAGCACAGGTGACTGACAGAGCACATTCCTTACTGCTGTGTGAGTGACTGGTGCTATTTTTAAACAACCCATTCTCTAAAGTCGATTTATGTTTGCCCTACAGGAGCCTTTCCCATAGGTAATTGGGAAAAATAAGCTCACTGCAGTTCAAAGTCAAATGATCCTAAGTTCGTAGTTAGTGAAGTGAATTCAGTACTTTTCTCTGGGTGTTAATGGGGGCTAAACACAGATCAGCACAGTGATGAAGAGGAAACGGTCGATAGGAGTAGGTGCTGTCTGTACGATTTATCTGCACAAGCTCCAGTGCATAGTTGCCCTGCTGGTCCAGTTTGCTGGCTACACAACTTTCCTGATGGATTGATGGAGACAACGTCCAGAAAATGCAGAGGCAGCAAAAGGATGTGAACAACTCGGGGATTCATTACGCACTCGATGAAGAGGGGAGCCTGTGAAGCTCGGGATCCTTGATGGAACTCTGAGCCAGACCCTCGGATTGGGCTGCAGCTCCGGGGAGCTCAGCTGGTGCCTCACCGACCGGCTTACAGAGAGGACCCCCCCACCCACCCCCCTCCATCTCCTGGTTTAATAGGGCCAGCGCTGTCCTTGGCAGGGCTCTATTGGGTTCTGAATTGTTGATGCTCTGAAATGAGAACAAAGCCTGGGGTGGACGCATGCCGGGGCCAGGCCTCTCCCAAGGGGCAGCCGTGACCGCCCCACAGCCTCTGTTACTGAAAAGCCTTGGCCCTGAGCTTCGTCCATTTTCCCTAGAAAATAAAAACAGGGACCATGCCAAGCGAATACCAGGCGGAAGGCCATGCCTTCCAACAGCAGTTTCAGAAACACTTTCCCAAGAGTTGGCTTGGACCAGCTGTCACCATCCTTGGTGTTGGAACCAGCCTGGTCCGTCCCCCGCTCTGCCTGGTGTGGATGGTGCCCTCCTGGGCCTCCTGGCGCTCATCCAGCCCACCTGCCCCGTGTGGGCACGGAGAACATCCCGAGCCATGGTGCTGTTTGGTTGGTTTTGTAATAGTAGACGGTGCCATCCACATAGGGGCTAGGGACGCGCACCCATCCGCTGTTGGGCAGCCCTCCCTCCCACGGCCTCATAAGTGTGTCTGTAATTAGCTCAGACCTCTCACATTCGGTGAGCTGCTTCCGTGGGGGCAGCTGACTTTCGGTTCATGAGCCACCAATAATTGGAAGAGGCCCCGTTCCAATCCTGGAAAGAAAACAAATGATAAGGAAAGGAGTTGGGACCCCAAGGCAGGGGCGGAGTCACTGGAGAAACTTGTGCAGACTCTGCAGGTGGGCACCCAGACCCAGGGCGGTCGCTTGTGAGGGCACAGTATCTTGTGGCCTCTCACCAAGCAGGGAAGTTTGCCCGTTGGACCAGATGTCCATCACAGGCCCGGGCCCTATCCCCTGGGGACACAGCGTTGGTTGGAGGAGCCCAGTGGAGCCTGGGGAGCAGGTGTGGGAGGCAGGGGCCTGGTGGGATGAGGGTAGTAGTCATGCTCGCCGCGTGGGAGCTGGCACCTGTATGGAGGGCAGTGCATGGGGACCAGAGGCCCTGCCAGAAAAGCTGGTGAGGATGGGAGAGTGTTGCCCCCCGCGTTCATTGCAGGCATGAGCACACACCTGTTCTCAGAGGGACACCACAGGCACCTGAAGGGTGGTGTGGGGGTGACAGGCCCCACCACTGAAAGAATGGAAATGAGGTCCTGACATGGCCCACAAGGCCCCACGTTCTTTCCCTCCAGAAGCATCTGCCGGAGTCTGTGTCCTCTCCAAACACCCAGGACCTGGGACCAAGCCCTCCCGCCTAGCCCCCGCCCCCAGCAGTGGCTGGCCCGGCAGTAGTCAGCAGGTCGCCCTGTCCATCCCAGTGGTGGTTGGATAGGAGCAGAGGGATCCGGGAGTAGAAACAGTGCTGAGCTGGCTGAGCAGAAGGCGTTTAGAAGGCGCCCAGCCTGGCAGGACAGGGCCACCGGGGTGCTGGGGCAGCTGCAACCTGGTGCTCAAACCCATGATAAACTCAGGTGGGCACCTGCCGGAGGCCTGACTCCCCGAAGCCCCGAATGTCTGTGAAACACAAGCAAAAGCCAGGCGAGTAAATAGGGGGTGGGGGCTTCAAACCGGGTGAGCCAGCTGAAGGGAGATTTATGTCTGACCTGATTTGGGCCAAATAGGCCAGATGTGTCAAAGTATGATAAATCGGGGTCTGTTTTCTGGGTTAAAATGTCCACAAATAGCTACCTCCAATTAACCTGCACAGCTGGTCCTTAAGGAAAGGGATGGAGGAGGGGTACCAGGGAATCCACAGGCCCGTCTCCTCCCAAATCCACCAGGATGGGTCCGGCTGCAGGTTGGCACATGGGGTCTCTCCTCCTGCATTGCCCAGGGTCTGTGCCCTCCTCCCAAACACAGTGGTTGAAACCCCCTATAGGGGCTCACACAGAACCTGGCGGGGCACCTGTGCTGAGATTTGGGGCCGGGCCCACAGTGATCCCAACAAGGGGTGATGTACGGATGTGTCTCGGACTGCGGATCACGAGGCCACCCCAGGTTCCTTGAGGTCCTCGGGTCAGGTGGTGTCCCAGCAGAGAGACGCCACTGCTCTGACCTGGTGTCAGGCTGACTCCATCCACCCTCCTCCCGGGCACCCACTGTCCCTGAGGAGGGCGCCTTCCCTCCTAATCCCTTCCTCAGGGCAGGGAGTGGGTTTCTAACCAGGTCTGTCCCAGTCCCCATGGGCCCTGCTGTCTCTTGACTGAAAACGTGTGGATCGGGTTTTCCCCGAATCCAGCTCCTGGCCCCCTGGCTCTCACCAGTACCCCAAGCCAAGGTAATCAGGAATGCCTTTCAACCTCTCTGAGCTTACACCCAACTAGAGCCCCCCAAGGGGTGTTTCACCCAGGTTCAAGCTCAGTCTCCCACCCCTTTCCCAGCTGCCCCATGAGGCTGAGGGCTGGACTCAAAAGGCCTCCCACTGGCCCAGGCAGCATGGGGCAACCAGCCCTAAATGTTGGATAAAACTTGACCACCCTCAGGGGATGAACAAGCACCAGAAATTGCTGGAACAGAACCCACCCCAAACCTAGAAGCAACAAGCTGCAGCGGGTCTCATAGGGCTGAGAGCTCAGTGGGCCTGGTGCAGGTCTAGGGAGATGCCCCTCCCCATGGCCAGGGAAACGGGGACCTGCCTCTGAGCCCCGCTCCCTGGCTGGACTCAGGAGGGATGCAGAAAGGGTTCTTGTTTAGGGTGATGCCAGGGTGTGGAGCAGGAGACTCAACACCACCCTCACGAGGGCTCCCAGCCCTCAGCCAGCCCAGAGGGGTCTAGAGTGATGAGCTAGGAGACAGAAGCTGGGGGACTCTGCGCGCCCCCCCCCCCCATCGTGTCTGGAGGCCACAGAAGCACGTCCACGGCCAGGGTTTCCAGGCACACCGCAGGGACAGTGATTAACGTGGAGGCCAAGGCACTGGGTTCCCTGACAGCTCATTAATGGGAAGGCCGGGCTCTGCTCAGCACACAAATCACCCAATAGTGAAATAGTGAGAGTCAGTTGGAAGGTTTTCAGGAGCTCAATTTGCCCAGTTCCTTGCGAACCAGTGATAACATCAGTGTCTGGCCCTAAAGATTCAAGACAGGACTTGGGGAGCAGCCATATGGGGTCCCACCACCTCTGTGCCCTTGAGTACCAAGGTATTGAAAAACTGATTGCTGACCCCCAACCTGTTCTCTGTTTAAGGCGTCAGATAGATCCTCAAGTTGCTGTCTCTGGGTAGTGGCTAATCGCCTGCCGAGAGGGCTCAGGAAGCTGGGCAGGCGTGAGAGTCTGTCCTCAGTGCCCAGAGGGTCATGAGTTAGGTGGGGGCACTACAAGGTGCAGGGAGGCCAGGTGGCCCCGGCCTGGCCCTTGGTGGTCTCACCTCCAGTGTGAGGTGGGCCCGGGACTCAGCACAGAGCACATGCTGTCAGCTGAGCCCCTCTTCTCCACCCACTGGCCTGGGGCTCACCCAGGGGCAAGCTGAGCAGCTGAACCTCTCCTCCCCCCAAGCTGGAGCCCAGAACCCTAGGCTGTAGTCTCTGGAATGGAGTCTCCTCCCTGGGGTGGGGTCTTGGTTTGAACAGTAAACTCTTTCCTTCCTTCACAGATTTTCAGATTTTCTTGAATAGATGTTGCATTTCCTTCTTGCCCTTGGGACTGTTTCCAGTCTTTAAATGGCTGCTTTTTTTTTAAATGATCTTTACCAGTTTTGCTGGGGATCAGGTCAGCTGAGCGCCTGTGGGAAGCCAATACCCAATTAACTTTTTTTGTTGGTAATCCTCACATGAGGATGTTTGTTCCAAAGATTTTTAGAGAGAGTGGAAAGGAGGGAGGGAGAGAAACATCAATGTGAGAGAGAGACACAGATTGGTTGCTTCCCAGACCTGGGTGGGATCAAACCTGAAACCCAGGTGCCTGCCCTTGACCAGAAATTGAACCTACGACCCTGACCCTTCGTGGGGATAGGGACTGGCCATGTGTTGCACTCTAACCACTGGCCCACACCTGCTAGGGCTTCCATTAAATCTTTCTTACAGGAATTGGGCTTTTTTTTTTTTTTTTTTTTTTTTTTTTTTTTTTTTTGCTACCCCTAGTCCTCCTGCAGTAGCACACCCGCATGGGTTGGGGTCGGGAGCCAGGGCAGCTAGGTTTGACATCCCTCCATCATGGGGAAACCTCCCTGCCCCAACACGTGTCCCTCTCCTCCTCCGCAGGGCGAGTGCTCCCGCAAGTGCCACAACCTCTTCGTGATGGAGACGGTGTGCGTGGCCTGGTTCTCCCTGGAGTTCCTGCTGCGCTCGCTGCAGGCCGAGAACAAGTGCGCCTTCCTGCGGACGCCGCTCAACATCATCGACATCCTGGCCATCCTGCCCTTCTACGTGTCGCTGCTGGTGGGCCTGGCGGCGGGCGGCGCAGCGCGGGCAGGCGCGAGCGCGGGCGGCAACAAGCTGCTGGAGCGCGCGGGGCTGGTGCTGCGGCTGCTGCGCGCGCTGCGCGTGCTCTACGTGATGCGCCTGGCGCGCCACTCGCTGGGCCTGCGCTCGCTGGGCCTGACCGTGCGCCGCTGCGCGCGCGAGTTCGGGCTGCTGCTGCTCTTCCTCTGCGTGGCCATGGCCCTGTTCGCGCCGCTCGTGCACCTGGCCGAGCGCGAGCTGGGCGCGCGCCGGGACTTCACCAGCGTGCCGGCCAGCTACTGGTGGGCCGTCATCTCCATGACCACCGTGGGCTACGGCGACATGGTGCCCCGCAGCGTGCCCGGGCAAGTGGTGGCGCTGAGCAGCATCCTCAGCGGCATCCTGCTCATGGCCTTCCCGGTCACCTCCATCTTCCACACCTTCTCGCGCTCCTACTCGGAGCTCAAAGAGCAGCAGCAGCGCGCCGCCAGCCCCGAGCCGGCCCTGCGCGGAGACAGCACGCGCTCCGCCAGCGCTACCGAAGCCAGCTCGCAGGATCCCGAAGGCTCCAGCGAGACTGGGGACTCGGCGGACCTCGCGTGGCCACGCACAGGGCCGGTCGGACACCCTGTGCTCAGGGGCGGCCGCGGCTGCCCATCACAGAAGCTTTAGAAACAGAACTACAGCCCTAGCCTCCCACAGCGCAGAGAGAGGGAGAGGAACTGACCTTAGAGGCAGCAGTTCCCGAAGCCCTAAAGGGCCTCGCTTCTGCTGCCCCGGATCCGGCCGAAGTGCATGTTGCTGCTCCGACCAGGGAGGCCCAGAACTCGCCCAGGAGTCAGAGGTGATGTTAAAAGCCAACCTGTGCTTTGAACAAATTTCTCAGAGGGCACCCCATCCTGTCGTCCTTCCTTTTATTTCCCTTAGGCATTCTGACTCTATGGCTAGCTAAAAATAAATTGGAGAAGTCCCAGAACTTCCAAGCCTGTAGCAATACCAGGAGGTCACACTGTCCCCAGACCTCAGCCTAACCCTTCCCTGCTATTCAGCCCGAATAGCAGTGGGGCAGTAGCAGTGAGGGAGGGGGGCGCAGTGGAGCACAGTCCTGGGGGCGGAGTTTCCAGGAAAGTGGGGACAACCCCTTCCTGCTCCTGCCTTCTCCCCCAGGTGGGCTGTGCCCCAAGGGAGGAAGGCTTCCCCATGCATCCCTCTCTGCAGAAGCCCACATCCCTCTCCCATTGAGGCTCACAGCCCTCCAGGTCCTTGGGGGATCCATCCCTGACCTTTGACCTCTTTCCCTGGCACTATCCCGTGGGCCTCTTCCTAGGTCTCCCCCTCCTCCTCCCCTCCTCCCCTCCCCCCCCCCCCTAGTTCTCCCCAGAAACATTATCTCAGCTGCCTGGAGACCAGGTGCTAGCCTCTGGGATGGTCGACTCCTGTATCTCTGGCCATCCAGCTCTGGGAGAGATTCAGAGAGGCGATTGGGGACAGGGGGGGTGCACTTGGGCCTGCAGGTGCTAGAAGCCTGTTTTCATGGAGGCGTGAACCTTTTCTCCTCTGGAGACAGAGGAATGGAACTCTCCCAATTATGCTGCTTTGCACTTTTTCATTTTAATCAGTTGAGCCATGACACCTGGGACATCGCTGCCACAGAGCCTGCCGGAGGAGGACCTGCATCACTCAGGAGGCCCCCTGATGCAGGGCATCCATCCACCACCATCCCTTCCAGCTTTGGGCACAGCCCCTGGTGGAAGCCCAGAGCCAGGGGAGGTGGGGGGCAGGGCCAGGGCCGGGGCCAGGATGGGGCCTGCTGCAAAATGTTCCTGCTGTGTTACTACAGCTAATAAAAGTGCCACCTGTCCTGCACAGCTCGCTCATATCAGGTGACCAGGTAGGTTGGACACCTGGCCCGACACCTGTCGCCCCACCTGTGTGCACAGCCAGACACACCCAACTCCCTAGGCAGGCAGCTCCCCCTGGATCCTGCCGGTCACTGTCTTGAGGCTGGTCTGTTCCAGGGGAGCCTGTCCCACAGGAGAGGGGCCAGCACTAGGGAACATGGGCATTTCTGGGCAGAGGCCAGTGCTGAGGGCTGGACCTTTCCCGGAGACCCCAGAGGTGAAATAAGAACACAGACCCATTATTCACTGTGCCTTGGGCCTCACACGGACTCCATTCACGAGGCCATGCTCGGTCCTTGAGCAGTTTATTGATTTAAAGTCGCTGTATGGAAAGAACCCTGAGCGTCCCCACACATGGCACATTCGGTCAGCACTATCGTCATTGGTACTTTAATTTAGAGGTTGCTACTACCTACTACAGACATCTCCGTTCATTTTTTTTTTTTTAAATAAGTGTTTTAAAGCATCTTACAGGCCAAAGAACTAAGCAGGATCCTCAAACATTCAGGAGTTTTTGAGGAAAACTCAGGAGGAGGAAACAGCTTCAAACACGTCTCACCGGGCCCCGCAGGCGCCTCAAGAGCTTTGGCACCAGCCACAGACAGTGCGGATAATGCAAAAGAGCCGCCCCTCCACCCAGCAGAAGGGAAAGCAGTGCCTGTGGGAGCCACACGGAAGCATCTGGAACACTTGGCCTTTGGGAGCCTGAGAGCTGGCGCAGGACTGGCCTGGCTGAAGTGCTCAGGTAATACTGAAAGGGGAACAGATGTGGGGACTAGGGTCAGACCAGTGACCTCACCACCGCCACATGCAGCGGACGGGAAACGGCGGGCAGGGGTGCCCACGCCAAGCCACCCCACCACCCCGGAAGGTCACTTCAGGCCCACCAGCTCACTGTGTGGATGTGGGGCTGCTCAGCGTGTCCCCGTCCTGGAAGGTGGACATCCCAGGCTGTGCTGCAGATGTGCGCACTTCCCAGGAAAAGGGGGGGAAACCGCTCGCAGCCCGCTCGGCCCCCGGGCCCTCAGGGAGCCTCCATGGGCCGCTCGCACCCTGTCATACCCTATAGGACTCACGGGGAGAACTCCAGACTCTGGTTCCGACACCCCCTGAGCTTGCTCTGGCCAGTGCCCAGCTGGCACGGACATGGGCTTGTCCTCTCGCCCCCAGTGGGAAGAGACCGTGTAACAACAAGGCCTCTGGGCTCCTTACCGAGCCCAGGGCAAGGGCTGAGTCCCGAGTCCTACGAGGAGGCCGCTCTGAAGGTGCCCGGGCAAGGCCACTCCAGAGAGATAGACCAGGACATGGGTCCTGTGTGTTGGTGTGGCTTCTCTTCCACGTGGACACAGGATCCGGGCCACACGCTCTGCGCCCGGCCCATCCTGGCTCAGAGTGCCCTCGCCACATGCCGTCCAGCAGCGCGTCCATCCTCAGCTGTTCTGACCATGGGCCCTGAGGTGCTGGGGCCCAAGCTCTCCCAATGCTGCTTCTCATGTGCACTCCGGGCCCGGGTTTACGGGACACGTCCAGGCTGAGGCACAGAGAAGCCTCCCCACGTCCTGTCCTGCAGAGGCCTGCTCCGCCATCTCCCGGGTTTTCGAGCGTCTCCTAGGTTCTGCAGGTGCCCTGAGAGCAAGTGAGAGCGAGACCTGCTTTTCCGTCACCTTGAAAACATCCACAGCCCCGCCCGTAGGGGCGACACCTGCCAGGCCGTTCTCCAGCGAGTGAGTGCAGACACGGCACTCGGGCACCACCTGTCCACCGTCCCAGGGGCCCACGCAGGACGACAGGTGGCCAGCCGGTGCCTGCAGCCAGCCGTCATTTGTCTTTGTCCTCCTGGTGCCTCACAGGGCCTTGGCACTGGTGGAGTGCACTGCGTGGGGGGTGGGCTTCGGGGGGCGGCGGCGGGAGAATGCGTAGGCCTGCGCCAGGATGGCCAGGTCCACCATCACCTGCAGCAGGCCGCACACGGAGAACTGCAGGGGGGCACCGTTCAACAGGAAGTATGCCATCTTGAAGGTGTCACCACTTGTCCACATGAGCACCATCTTGATGCTGCAGAGACACAAGCCAGGGTCGGGGGGTAAGCCAGGGTCAGGGGGCAATCCCAGGTCAGGTGGCAAGCCAGGGTCGGGAGACACCCGGGCCCCAGCCTGACCCTCCCAGCCCTCCCACCCTCGCTGTGAGGTCACTCTGTGTGTAGGCACAAGAACAGGAAGGCCCTTCAGCGGAGGACCCTCACCTCTGGGCAGGGACTGGGCCGGCACAGGGCAGGCCCACAACCTCACAAAGGTCTAGCCTTCCTGGCTGCAGACGCTGTGGGCCCCTGGGGAGACGAGGGAGGGAAGACCACCACCTGCTCCAGGGGCCAGCCTGGCAGGGGCAGCAGCACCCAAGAACTTCAGGAGAGCGGCCCCCAGCCACAGGGACCCGCAGACCTGGCATCGGAGGTCATGACTCCCGCCTGGCTGTGCGCTGTGAGCTGCAGGAGGAGCCTGGCTGGGAGGGGGCGGCCCTCTCACCTGGAGCCCCTCTACCCTGGCCCCTGGAGCCCCCAGCCAGCACCTGGTCTACAGCTGTGGATGGAATGATCCCAAAGGTGCAGTGTCAGACACCCAGGAGGAACCTGACAACACCCTAGCCTTCACATCTGCTTTGTCCACACTGAAATCAAAGTGGAGGACAAAAGCACAGCACCCCGTCCCCACTGCACACCGTTAATGCAGGACTTCCCTCCACAGAAACACCCCCCTTATCGACTCGGACACCGCTACACCACTTCGCAATCTGCAGGTGTGCCGACTGCTGTATGCACAGGGAGCATGCTCGGCTTTATGGGAAGTGTGTTCTGAAAACATCAGTACAAAGACACATCCGTATTTCTCTCTCCTTAGAGGTCTCCAACGAACTCTAGCTTATAATTCTCTTTCCGAAGTTGGGCTCACAATGGAGCCACTCAGATGCTAGGGCACTGTTGGGGAGGGGTGGGGAGCTCATCCCACAAATGCAAATGGAAGCAAGTGCTGGGCTCTCAGCTCCTAAGAGCCGCCAGCCGCAGCCCTGGTCAGGCAGTCGGGGGCCATAAAAGGGACGTGCTGTGACCTGAGCCAGACCTCACAGGTGCAGCGTGGGGCCTGGTTTGCTCAACAGCTAGCACTAAGGCTCCCAGGAAAAAGGCAGCAGCCCCCCCCCACCGGCACCCTCACACATGCCTGCCGAGCTGTGCCCTGAACAAGACGACGTGAGCTACATGGCTCCCTTTTCACCGAGGGAACCGAGGCACAGATAGGTTTAGCGACATGCCTAACGGTTCACGGCTAGTGCTTCTGGAGAGCAGGAAGGGTAGCGGGGACAGAGCACAAAGCTGGAGAGGTCCCAGGACCACCTGTTACTGTCCCGGGGCCGCCCGCCTAGTGCCGGTGGTGCCTCTGGGCCCTGAACGCACAGGTGCACTCCTCACCCGGGCAAGTGCAGACGTGAGGTCATCGCTGGGTTGGACTCTGTCTGACACACAGGGACATTTTTAGCTGCCCAGACGCCTCACCTGGCCTCAGCCCTCAGTCAGCCACTGCGTGGGGACAGGAACCCAATAGCCTTGCAGAGGCCCCTTGACCAGCTGCCCACGCAACAGCTCAGGAAGGACAGGGGCACTGTAGCCAAACATTAACAAAGTTCCTCCTGCCGGGGTCCCTGAGAATCTGTTCAACAGAGGGACTTTCACCAAGCCATGAATTCTCTTTCTGACGCAGGCACTGTGTACCCTTACCCTCAGTGATAGTGTGGATGGCTGGGTGGGTGGGTGGATGGATGGATGGGCGGGCAAGCCTCAGAGGCTCTGCTGTCACTGCTCAGCATGCCAAGGATGTCCTAATGGGCACTAAGTCCAGAACCTGGCCACTGCAAGCAGATCTGTTTGTCCTTGTCCTGAGCATGGAAGTTCCACCCAAGGAAGCCCCTTCAGCCACCACAGGGTCCCAATAGTGCGGGAAGCCCACCCCAAGCACAGAGAACCTTGCAGACGGGGCCAGTGGGAGTGGGAGGGGGAATTGTCACTTCCCAGACCCCAGGATGTGTTTTCCCAGCTCAGGCTGGTGACCTGGGAGCTGGACTCTCTTGTCTAGTTCCCCTCACAACCTCCCCAGCTCCTTGCACCTGACCCTCCCTTCCCCCACCCACCATTTTAATCCCTGCTCCCATGACCTCATTTTGACACCACCACCCCCTTTGCCTCTTCAGCTGGGCTGCCAGATCACTATTCCTAAAATACCTCTCGCCTCATCCATGGCCTGTCCGGCAGACAAGATAGCGCCTCCCAGACCAGTGCCCGGGAGAGGAAAGCCAGACGCCTGCACCTGTCCCAGCTTCCTCACAGGAGCCTTCGGCTCATGCCCACCTCCCAGGGCCCTAGGCCTTCCCCTCCTTCCACCCATCAAGAGCTCTCCCAAAACTGAAAATCATGACCCAAAGGAGATCTGTGTGACCTGGGTTAGACAGTGGGCTCTGGGATTGAAACCTTTGGGGCTGCAAAGGAAAACCTTAGGAAATTGCAAAGATGACCTTCAGGATGAGGAAAACATCTGCAAATCGTGTATCTGAAGGAATTCTACAACTCAATCATAAAAAGACAAAGCGCCAACTTTTAAAATGGGCAAAGGATCTGAGCAGACCTTTCTCCAAAGTGGCTGTTTTACAAATGGAACTGAACATAAAGCAGCCCGATGTGTACCCATTTGACTTTCCCCGGATGTATGGGCCTGGTGCCAAGGGGGACAGCAGCAGTGACACGCGCCCACCCACCTCATGCCCTCCGTGGACTGGTAGAGGTGGTTGCGGTACAGCTGCGGCACGCCCAGCATGGCCTCGGTCAGCACGGCCAGGAAGCCCAGGCTCTCCACGAACAGGGCCGAGTCGATGGACAGGTAGGTGACGTAGCCCGCGATGCCCGTGAAGGCCAGCACACACTGCAGGTAGTCCGCAAAGCTGCTCCAGTGCCAGAAGTAGTGAGGGTCGAAGTCTAGAGGGAGAGAGACGTGAGCCAGACTTCAAGTCAAGGTCAGTGTGAGGTGAAGGATGTGAAATGAACGAGGAGATGAAGGTCAGTGCGAATAGCAAGATGTGAACTAGGTGAGGAGGTCAAGATCACCATGAGGCCCCGCCGGCATGGCTCAGTGATTGAGCATTCGACCTATGAACCAGAGGGTCACAGGTTCAATTCTCAGTCAGGGCACATGCCTGGGTTGCGGGCACCATCTCCAGAGTGGGGCCTGCAGGAGGTAGCCTGATCAATGATTCTCTCTCATCATTGATGTTTCTATCCCTCTCTCCCTCTCCCTTTCTGAAATCAATAAAAATATATTAAAAGTAAAAAAATAAAAAGATCACCATCACCATGAGGAAGATGAATGTGAGCTATGAGGATCCAACTGCTCTCAACCAAGGGACTTCTGAGGAAGACTTCATACGGATATTAACTCAGCATAAAGGATGCTAAACCTGTCAACTCACCCTAAAATAGTACTGATAATCCATATAGTGCAGGATCATTCCAGAACCTCTGGAATCTCTTTCCTGGGTTAGAATACCTGCTCTTCCCTGCCACAACTTTAGATTAATCATGTGTCTCCATTTCTTTAGATGTAGAAGAGGAATCATGTTACCGAGGAAGTCGGGTTGTTTTAATGATTAAAGTAGTTAATCTTCTGAATCCCCTGAAGTGTCCAGCCCTGAATAAAGGTCCTGCGAAGATATATAATTATCATCACTACAACCTGAGTGGCTAGAATATTACCGTTTGCTTGACAAATGTGTCCTGCAGAAACCAACTGTGTGAGAACTCACAGAAATCAACAAATTACATTAAGTTCATGGGCTGTGGCAGGTCTCGGGACGGAGGCAGCGTCGGGGACTGTCGGGGAAATGGAGGGGTGTGAAGCGACCAGGGCGCCTCGCCAGCAAAAAGGCCCAGCAAGGGCCGCACGGGTGGGCGAGGACAGGAGGTGCCGGGACTGGCCGTCCCGGAAGCTGGGAGGAGCTGGAAGAGGGCGTCTCAGCTGCACACGTACCACGTGCCCCCGGAGGCACTCGGCCGGGAAATGGGAGGAACGGAGTCAACAACGCACAAGTGGACTCACCGCGAACTGCATCCCAAACACGTGGAACCCAGATCCGCCATAACCCACATGCTCCAAACCGCACCAGCCCGGGCCATGTCTACACGTGAGAAAACAGCTTTCCGTCTGGACACTTGCCTCCGGGGCAGGGAGGATGGGCGAAGGGACCCCTCGCTGAAGGCACCCCCTTCCCCGCCTCCAAAAGGGCACCTGTTCTTCCTCCGCCCCCAGTAGGACAAGGAGGTCTCGTTGTGGAAGGTTCTCAGGGACACACTTGTCATTCCCCAGCAGCTGGGACCTTAAAGGCGCAGAGCCATTTTCCACACCAAAGAGCTCCGGCATTCGAGAGTTCCATCCCGACGAAGGAAGAGGTCTCCTAGAACTCAGACACTCATCCTGACGACAGTGCAGCTGGCAGAGCTGCCCCTGGGCCATGCCTCACATGGGAGCATCTACTCTGACCATCCCAAAGGGACAGCCATGTCCCTCAAACCCAGCCCCACGTGGCAGCCATGGTGAACAGGTGGTCTGGGCATGAGATGGCCATGGCCGGCAGCCCCTCACAGGCTCGGACCCTGTGCCAGTATCAGGTAGGCCGGGCCGCTCACACCTAGCCTCTCACCCCTTCTTTAACAGAGGGAGAGTGGGGGCCTTCAGGTCAGGCAATAGGCTCCCCACACCCCAGGCTGCCATCTGAGATCGTCACTGACCACCTGTCTAAATGGACGAGGCCAAGACCCAAGATGGGGTGGGTAAGGGGCACATCTGGAGACCAGTCCTGCCTGAGCCCCCGGTCCCGCCCCTTAGCTGAGCCGGCAGTGTCTCTCTCCATCTGGGAGGCCCATCTGCAGGTGCGGGCTCCCCTCCAGAGGGCTCCTATGTCAGCACCTGAAACCCCAACCATCCCAATATGGGGGGCACTGAGGCAGAGTCACTGGCCAAAAGGGACACACAGGATTGGGACCTGAACCCTGACGCACTGCCTCTGCAGATCCAAGGATGAGAGGACCGTGCACGGCGCCCCGCCCAGCCCTGTGACCTCCCTGAGCCTCAGGATGGCAGCGCCTGCCCCATCCCCAGGGGCCCTGTGGAGGCCGTGTCGTCACATAATTCAGATGGAGGTCAGGACCCTCACACAGCCTGCAACAGCAATCCTTGCCCACACACCTCAGCCTCTCTGAAGGGCCACATGGACAGATGCTGGGCCCCCAGACGCTGTGTGAGAGGCAGGGAGGAGAACACAGCACGGAGGATAAGCCCATCCCTCAGCACAGCAGCCGGGTGTCAGTGCTGGTCAACAGAGGGCCAGCGTGTCTCTGCTCAGCATGCTCCCCAGGCTGATGAGAGCGACAGAGCCGCGGCCGCTCCGAGGGGCAGGGGCAGGAGAAAACCCGGTCCAAGGAGCTCCTGGCCTCCCAGGTGGTTTCCGGTGGCCCATCCTCGTTACAACTTCAGGATGTAAACTCCACTGATGACACAGGTTATGCAACGGCTGGGCTCCATCCCAGGCAGCCCACCAGCACCCCCGTGTGGCCTGTCTCCGCCAATTCAGGCTAAGTCTTTCCAGCTCAGAGAATGACATCCCTCCGGTGGTCCAACCCTGGTCACCGACGGAAAAGGCGTGGCTCTCCCACAGTGGCAGCTCTCAGTGGCCATGGCAACCACAGAAACCAGCTGGAGACAATGGGGCCTCCACATGCCTCACTTTTGCAGCTAGAACCCCCTCGGGTGTCCCTGCTCTCACAAAACCCCAGGTGTCCCCCCGTTTTTTTAATATATTTTATTGATTTTTTTTTCTACAGAGAGGAAGAGAGAGGGATAAAGAGTTAGAAACATCGATGAGAATCATTGATCAGCTGCCTCCTACTGGGGATGTGCCCGCAACCAAGGTACATGCTCTTGACCGGAATCGAACCTGGGACCCCTCAGTCCACAGGCCGATGCTCTATCCACTGAGCCAAACCGGTTTCAGCCCCAGGTGCCCCTTTATTTTATTTATTTTATTTTATTTTTAAAAACATTTTTATTGATTTTTTACAGAGAGGAAGGGAGAGAGAGAGAGAGCGAGCTAGAAACATCGATGAGAGAGAAACACCGACCAGCTGCCTCCTGCACACCCCCTACTGGGGATGTGCCCCCAGGGGCCCTTATAGGCGCCCAGAGAGCAGAGGGCTCAGGCCACCCACAGCCCCCTCCTCTCCCACAGAAGCTGCCTGTGGACCTCGAGCCCCTGTGCCCTCCCAGCCTGCTGGCCCCCAGACACCTGAAAACGAGGGGGAAGCTGCGAGGGCTGAGGGCTCTGAAAAGGCCACCAGAGAGGGACTCCCACACCAGGTCCTCGGCTCCAAGTGGCCTCTCAGGATGGGGACCAATCATTAGGGCAGGCCGGCTGGTAACCACGTGGCCAGCAGCGCTCTTTCACATCAGGGTCACACCCCAGGGAGGAGGACAGGGCTGGCTCCAAGAGGGCCTCCCAGAAGTGTCCCATGGCCCCACGCCTCCGGTGTAGCTGTGCCCCGAGATAAGAAAGGCCCCGTGCCAGGGTGAGCCAGCCGCCTCCCGGAACTCACCCCACGTCTCCTCTGTGCGTCTGAGGGTGCAGAGGAGAAAGAGCTCCCGTCAGTCCTGAGTGCCTGGACCCTCAAGGAGGTGAGCCCACAGCTACCCTGAACCCACACACACCTGCCACGTAGCCACTTGTGGGAGCTACCTTCCGACCCCGATAAAAACCATGGTGAGTTCCAGGTGCCGAGGTGGGAGCAGCAAAAAATAACCCAAGTCCACTTCTCTGGGGAATCCGAACGGAATGCCCAGCAGGGAAGAGGGACCCAGACTGGTTAAGGAGGAAGCCACATCTGAGTCCTGGTGGCCAGGACAGCAGACCCCAAGTAAGCCACCCCTCTGGGCACACTGCAACCGAAAGGACTCCTATGTCCCCTTTGTCTGTGTGTTCAAACCCGCAGGGAGAGACAGGTGAACCTCCTAGTTAGGCAGTTCGGCGACGGAAGCAGGACACTGGAGGGCCTTGGCAAAGGGTCACCTCAGCTGCAGAAATTAACTAAACATCCGGGATCCTGGAAACCTGAAGAATCACCTTCCACAGTGACAGCGAGGGAAAGTCTCCCCACCTGGAACTAAGGAAACATCCCGTGTGTGCAAACCCCAGGCCCCGTTCAGACGCTCCCGCCTCCCCTGGCGGACCCGACGAGCAGAGCTCAGGGTGCTGACCCGCGAGGGCACTGAGTGCTGACGAGGCTGCCGGGCACACGTGCTCTGGGGGCAGGAGATGCCCCTGACCTCAAAGGCTGGATGCGGAAAAGACAGAAAATATCCTGTTAATAATTGTTAGGGTGGTTACAGGGTCAGGTGAAAGTATTTTGGTAAAAAGCAGATTAACAGTAATTCACCGGTTTCTTTTCACTTTTCTAATGTGCTATCTGGAAACCATGCACACGGCTGGCTTCCCGGCTGGCACTGCATCTCCGCAGGGCAGTGCTGGCCAGCGCTAATGAGGCGCCGACGGCCGAGCCCAGAGCTCTGCCCAGGTCCTCTGGAGACCCAGGACCTGTAAGTGAGGAAGGGCGGGTCTGAGGGGACCCTTTTCTGAGGCGAAGCCATGAACCTGCTGGGGCCACAGAGGACGCGCCAGCTGCTCTGGCCGGACATTCATTGTGGTTACAGAGTGCAAGTCCCTGCTTTTAAGAAACAGACACTAAGTAGTTGGATGTCATCAGCGTGGAGTCAGAACAGAAAACCAACCGAGAAAACACCACCAAAGTTGGTTCTTTGAAAAAAAAAAAAAAAATCAGTAAAATTGACAAACATGTAGCTAGAATGACCAAAAGAATACAGAGAAAGAGAGAGGAGACTCAAATTACTACCGTCAACAACATCAGTACCAACATCACAGAAACAAAAAGAATTACAAGGGAGCACTAAGAACAATTGTAATCCAACAGGTTAGATAACTTAGGTTAATTGGACAAAAAAAAACAACTATTAAAACTAACTGGGGAGCCCTGGCTGGTTTGGCTCAGTGGATAGAGCATTGGCCTGTGGACTGAAGGGTCCCAGGTTCGATTGGCACATGACTGAGTTGTGGGCAATATCCCCACTAGGGGGTGTGCATCATTGATGGTTCTATCCCTCTCCCTTCTTCTCTAAAATCAATAATATATATATATATATATATATTTTTTTTTTTTTTTTTTTTTTTTTTTTTTTTAACTAGGGAAGAATCTGAAAAACTGAATAGACTTATAATACATAAAGAGATTGCCTTAGGCCGAGACCGGTTTGGCTCAATGGATAGAGAGTCGGCTTGGGGACTGAAGGGTCCCGGGTTCGATTCCGGTCAAGGGCATGTACCTTGGTTGCGGGCATATCCCCAGTGGGGGGTATGCAAGAGGCAGCTGATCGATGACTCTCATCGATGTTTCTATTATAACTCTATCTCTCTCCCTTCCTCTCTGTACAAAATCAATAAAGTATATTTAAAAAAAAAAAAAAAAAAGAGAGAGAGATTGCCTTAGTAATTTAAACACTTCCGACAAAGAAAAGCCCAGACCCAAATGGCTTCCCTGGGTAACCCACCAAGCATTTAAAGAATTGATAAACTTGTGATGAGTAATTAATAAGCCCTGGATATGTAATGTATAGTATAGTAAACAAAGATACCAATATTGTATTATAATCATTAAACTTGTTTAGAAACTAAAATGAACTACTCCAACCACTAAAAATAAATAATTGTGTAATGAGATATTAGTGCTAACTATCACTACAATGACAAGCATAACACGACACATAAATGTATAAAATTACATGTACACCTTAAATTTACATAACGTTGTATGCCATATTTCAATTTAAAAAGTTTTAATAATAAAGAATTGATACCAATCCTTCATAAACTCTTCAAAAAAAAAGAAAGAGGGAACAGTTCCCATTCCCCACTTACTGTATAAGACCAGTTCTCTCCTTTTACTAAACCCAAAGTCATCACAAGGAAAAAAGATCAGTACCTCATAGGAACATGGACACAGAAATCCTCAACATATTCCTAGCAAACAGAATCTAGGAATTTTTTTTTAAAAGATTATACAACTTGATCTGATGGGATTTATCCCAAAAATGCCAGATTGGCAGAAACCAGTTTGGCTTGGTGGATAGAGCGTCTGCCTGTGGACTGAAGTGTCCCAGGTTCGATTCTGATCAAGGGCGTGTACCTTGGTTGCAGGCACATCCCCAGTGGGGGGTGTGCAGGAGGCAGCTGATTGATGTTTCTCTCTCATCGATGTTTCTAACTCTCTGTCTCTCTCCCTTCCTCTCTATAAAAAAATCAATAAAATATATATATATTAAAAATGCCAGATTGGTACAACATATAAAAATCAATCAATATAATATCAATATCTATAATAAAAGGGTAAGATGCTAATTAGACTGGATATCATTCCAGATATCCTTCCTGATGAAGCTGGGGCCAGAGGGAAGCCAGCGGCCTGGTCCCAGGTGACTGAGGGAAGCCAGTGCTGGCAGCTGGGGAAAGGAAAGCTTACTCTTGCATGAATTTCCATCATCAGGTTTCTAGTATGTGTGTGTGTGTGTGTGTGTGTGTATGTGTGTGTGTATAGAAGGCTAAGCGACTGTCCAACCGGTAACTATAATATAATGTGCAATGACCACCAGAGGGCAGATGCTCAACACAGGAGCTGCCAAGCTGCAGTGACTTGGCAACAACGGTTCTTGGGTGACACACCTGGAACCAGAGAGGAGGGAGCCCAGTTCTGGGGTGTGTCATCCGAGAACCACCCTCTCACAATCTAGGATCCCTCAGGGGATGTTGGAAAGCTGGTTTTGGCCTGATCCCCACAGGCCAGGCTGAGGGACCCTACCTGCTGGAGGGACCCATTCACTCCACAGACACTGAGCTGCGGAGCTGCCCCAGGTGGTGCCGCCAGGGAGGGACTGCAAATAGTTGGCTCCAGGGCATGTCTGGCCTGTCTCACCAAGTCCCACCCCACTGGCCACCTTCTGATTAAATTCCTTTTCATCTGCATGAATCCGTGCACCGGGCACTAGTAGTATAATAATGGAATAAAGGACAAAACCACATGGTCATCTCAACAAACACAGAAAAGCATTTAACAAACTTCAATATCCTTTTATGATAAAAACACTCAACAAACTCATAATAGAAGGTGCTTGCTTAACCTAATAAAAGGCATCTATGTGAAATCCACCATACTCAATGGAGAAAGGCTAAAACACTTTGTCACTAAAATCAGGAACAAGCCAAGGGCATCCACCCAGATCACTTCTAGCCAGGGTAACTAAGAAAAAGAAATAAAAAGCGTTCAGATTGGAAAAGAAGAAGTAAAACTATTTGTAGATGATATGACCTTATATATAGAAAATCCTCACGTATCCACTACAAAGCTATGAGACCTAATAAATGATTTCATCAAAGCTGTAGGGCAAAAATCAATTTTATTTCTACCAAGGAGCAAATGAACAGTCCAAAGTGAAGAAAACAAATCCATTTACCATGGCATCAAAAATGATAAAATATTTAGAATAAATACATTTAACCAAAGGACTCCAGAACGTATGCTCTGATCGTTCCTTTCTTTCTCTTTCTTTCCTTCCTTCTCTCTCTCTCACAGACCCACACACAGAACACGGCAGGCTTCTAGGTGCTACTTCATGCTTGACAACAGCAGCTATGGGCTGGTTAGTTGACTGAAGTCATGGCCACACGTGATAAAATGAGTCACATGCATGCATGGTCAGGGTGCAAGCACAGAGGACAGACATGACAGAGCGAGACAAAGCTGCCATGAGATGACACACTGAAACACGGGCGTGAGCAGCCTCATGCAAGGTGGTACATACCCAGATATGACCGCCTGGGGGTCACTTTGACTTCCTCGTCCTTATTATCTGCAGCTACATTTAAAAAGAGAGAGAGAAACAGAAAGGAAGGAAAGACAAAACAGACGGGTTTAACGCAGATAAGCAGCTGTGTCTCTGGCCCTCTTTGCACGTCTTTCTTTTAAAACCATTGGGACGGGAAGACCACAGGTCTGGGTGTCTGTGCATCAGGAAATCTACCTTTGGACTATGTTTCTCTGAACCTACCCTCTTTCCAAACAAGTGCTTGGGACAGGGGAAGAAATGTGGGGCCAAAAATGAAAAGTCACCCACTCTCATTTGCCTGCTAAGGTCAGAGGTGGGGTCTGCCGTCACCAGATCCTGCCTCTGCTCCCCGGACACTCAGCAGTGTGCGGAAGGCCGCCGCACAGCCCCTGGATCACAGCGCCACCAAGAGGGCTATTTGAGAAAGCTGTTTCCAGAAGACACTCCCCAAGAGCTGGTACAACACATGCCAGTGAGAAGCAGGGAGACAAGACGATGTTACCCAGTGGTGCTGACGGAGGGGCGATGATTCCAGTCCGAGGCACCCCGCTCCTGCCCCTCCCCGGCCAGCAGCCCACTCCCATCGGAGACCTCCTGACTGTGCACCACCCGGGCAGCCTCCAAGACCCCAGCAGACACCGCGGGGCAGAGAGGCAGCCGCTGGGTTCCCTGCAGGCGGGAGGGGGTTAAACAGAAGATCAGGACTCCAGGGAGTCACTGTGATCACAAAGCAGAGGTGGATCAAAGGTTGTGTCATCTGCCCCAGGCAGAGGACTCACCTAAAAATGGAAAATTGACAAGTGAACAGCTAAAAGCAAATACCCTGCTTCCCCGAAAATAAGACGGTGTTTTTTATTAATTTTTTCTCCCAAAGTTGCACTAGGTCTTATTTTCAGGGGATGTCTTATCTTTCCATGCGTTAGGTCTTATTTTCGGAGGATGTCTTATTTTCGAGGAAACATGGTACCAGCCCAGCTGCCAGGACTCGGGGACAGCAGAGGAGGGTTTCACAGCACCACACCAAGTTCACCATTGAAAGGGAGGGGGGGAGGTAGGAAGGGGTGGGTACAGATGAGAACTCAACTTAGCTTCTGTGCAGTTCAGATGCAAACAGCCTTTGCCCTTCCCGTGTCCAGGCCAGGTCAGCCAAGCCCAGCAGAGCCGTGCGCATGCTGAGCGACAGGGCACAGCAGGGCAGGGTAGAGGCACGTGGGAGTTCAGGGTGGGAGGAGGCACAGCCCTCCCTGCACAGCATCAAGCTACCTAAGGTTTCTTGGCTGGAAAGCGACATGATCAGATCTGTGTTTTGGAAAAACCTCTTTGTGTGGGACAGACTGGAGGAGACAGAGGTTAGAAATGTTTTCAACAATGCCGTCCGTCCTTCCACAAATCTGCCCCCAACCCACTCCAGTCTCCTCCATCCTCACGGCTTCCCACCAGGAGGGGTGTCTGTCCATGTCCCCAATTAGGGAAGGGAGGGGGGGCCACACCCCTACAGAAGGGACACTGTATGATTTCCAAGACTAGATCTTCAAAAAGACACAGTATCTACCCAGTTCTCTCCAACGCGCCCCTTGAAACCTGGGCTATGTTGTGTGGACGCCCAGGCCACGTGAAGAGGCCACAGCAGAGAGAGAGAGAGAGAGAGAGAGAGAGAGAAAGGGGCGGGGGGGGGGGAGAGAGAATGAATGAGTGTCAGGGCCACCCCTGCGGAGCTCTGCCCAAAATGCAGGTTCCTAAAAACTCGGTTCCACTCATTCAACCTGTTGGCAAAATTCAGTTCCTGTGGCTGGAGGACTGGCTCCGGTCCTGCTGGCTGTAAGTGAAGGCCATTCCCATTGAGAGCACGCCTCCCCCACTCTCAAAGCCAGCAAGGGTCAAGTCCTCTGTCGTCCATCTGTCCATCCATCCCCTGTCCATCCATCTCAATGGGAAGGCCATTCCCATTGAGAGCACGCCCCTCCCCCACTCTCAAAGCCAGGGGTCAAGTCCTCCGTCATCCATCTGTCCATTCATCCCCACAAAAGGACTTCCTCTTTCCTCTCCTGTGACATCATCGGGCCCACCTGACAGCCAAACAAGCCCCTTCGAGGCCTCCCCACCTTACCCACCTCTGCAAAGCCCCTTCGCCGCAGGGGTGACCACTCCCAGGTGCCCATCTGCTCACCAGAGGAGGCCATGTGTTACCGGTCAGACCCCAAGCCCAGTTAACAGAACAGAAATATCCCTTTGGGCAGAGTCTACATGGAACACTGGAAATCGAGGGGCGTGACCGGAGGGCCACCATCCCTCTCCCATCAAGAAGCCTGGTAAGGGAGATCCCCGGGGCACAGCCCGAGGGAAGGGGAGCGTGCAGGCTGAGGAGGCACGCCTGCCTGCCTTTCAGCGAGGTCACACCACTGTCCCTGCCCAGAGGCCGCATGCCCGGAGGCACGCACACCTGCTGCACCTGGCAGCCTGCATATCACACACTTCAGCAAGGCCACAGGCCGCTCTCAGGTTTCAGAAGCAGAGGCAGAGGCAGAGGCATGCCGCCTGGGCACACACGGCCTCTCCGCCCTCCTGCGTGAGGTTGGGCTGCCCTGAGATACTCCACTCTGGGGGCCAAAGGAGTGGTGAGGTCCCGCAGGACACAGATCCCAGAGAGAAGGGGCAGGAGCCGTGGGAGCAGAAAGGCCTTGTCCAAGAGAGACTTAGGGCCCAGTGCCTCTCCTTCTAACGGGCCCAGTTCGCTGAGCCCCGCTTCCGAGGCAAGACCAGCTGCACAGTCAGCACCGGCTCTGGGGTGACTTACCCAGTCACAACAGGGGGATGGGGACAGCTCTGCAGAGGAGAGAATGGCATCAATGGGGAAAAAGCACAAAACATGCCAGCCTGGCCGGTGTGGCTCACTGGTTGGACATCGACTTATGGACCAGGAAGTCATGGTTCGATTTCCAGTCAGGACATGCCTGGGTTTGGGGCTCAATCCCCAGCAGGGGGCATGCAGGAGACAGCCGATCAATGATTCTCTCTCATCAGTTATGTTTCTCTCTCTCTCTCTCCTTCTCCCTTCCTCCCTGAAATCAATAAAAATACATTAGAAAAAAAAAAAAATAGGAGCTACACCAGGGGAGGATCCACTTACTTTTGTTCCTGGTGATCACCTGGTGAAAGGTGATCACCAGGAACAAAAACACGAGCAAGACCCTGAGTCCACAGACCTCCCAAACTACATGTGAGCTGTCATGCTTCTAGTAATTACAAGAAACCCAGAGGTAAGCATTAACCCTCTTGTGCACGAGAAGCCCAGCAGGCTGACGTTCAGACAAGGCAGCCAGCCTGGAAGGCGCTTCTCCAAAGGAAAGGGCAGAAACAGGAAGCGAGACTTCGCTCCGAGAGCCCAAGAGTCCAGCGGTGGCAGTGTGGCTGACCGGCGGTCCGTGCTGCCGGCCCGTGTGCCCAGCAGGGAGTCATCTGCACCACAAAGTCCTGGCTTGGAAGTTTCCAACAAGGCGTGTGCAAAGCTCCCGGTGCACGCGGCCGTGGGGAAACGGTTTTCACACAAGCCTCGCAGAAAGTCAGAGGTAGCACTGCCTTCTCCCCAATGTCCTCCTGACCTGGCCCACTCATTTAACCTGTTGGCAAAATTCAGTTCCTGTGGCTGGACCAGGACTGGCTCAGGTCCTTGCTGGCTGTAAGTGAAGGCCATTCCCATTGAGAGCACGCCCCTCCCCCACTCTCAAAGCCAGCAAGGGTCAAGTCCTCTGTCGTCCATCTGTCCATCCATCCCCTGTCCATCCATCTCAATGGGAAGGCCATCCCGCTGGCCGGACCTCTGTCCCATTCGGGCTCCGCAGGCAGCGCGCTCCCAGTGAGGAGCAGAGCGTCAGGACCAGGTAATAGCTCGCCCACGCTCGAGGGAAGAAACTACCCTCGTGGACCGTTTCCCACTGTAATGGCTACAGTCTTGTCCCATCCTGCAAACACCTTCCGTTACAGTGTCCCGCGGTGGGACAAGCCGCCGGGACGATGCTGAGCTGCAGGGGCTGTCATCCCGCCTGCAGACCCTTCTGTGGTGCAAGTGGCTTCAGACCAAAGCTGCCGACCACCCACCTGTAAAGAAGCGGCGTTTGACGTTGAGCTCATTGGCCACGCGGACCTCGGTGCACAGCTTCAGCATCAGCAGCATGGTGATGATCATGACGATGCTCTGCCAGAGCAGCGGGGACTCGAAATGCCTTCCGAACCTGGGGGATGAGACGCCGCGGCTCAGGAGGACGCCCACGCCAGGGGCCTGGCCCACGCTCCCCGCCCAGGTCCCACCAGGCCGGACAGCTCCAGACTCCATGGTGGGACGGACAGGACGGAGCTGGGTGCAGAGGGTCTGGGCCACTGACTGGAGTGGGAGGGAGGGGCGGAGGGGGGGGAAAGGAAGAGCTGAGGAGCCAGGCCCAGGTCAGGAGAAGGTGCCGTGGACAAAAGGGTGGTCCGAGGGACTTTCCCAGCCAGAAGCGGGCGGTCTGCCAGGGGCGGGCGGGTTCATGGGCACCACAGCCCCAGGCCTTCTGGCCTCAGTGAGCCATGGCCTCAAGCCCTCTCCTCTGTAGGTTGCAGAATTCTAACCCCTAAGGCTGCGGGAGGAGATTCCTAGTCATTTCTATGAACTGGTCCCCACTGACTACTGAGTTGATCCAGAAGATGCACTCAGCCATAGGTGAAGGTAACAGGAGGGACAGTGACGGTTCCATGTTAGACTGAGCGGGCGGCATCAACATAAAGTCAGTCAGACCAGCGACCCCTCCCACCAATCTCCTTTCCAGCTATAAGGCTAACAATGTGCAACCTGGGGCCAGCTGCATTTTCTAAATGTTCAGCAGGAATAATGACCAGAGAAATGGTGGAGAAAAATATCAAATTTGCGCGTCTCCTTACACGACACACCAAGAATCAAATCTACACGAACTCAGTGTTCACAGTGAAAATGAGACCATTTAACATGAGTGGCAGGGAGCACAGGTAAGAACTTAAATGATTTTAGGTTGCAGGATGGCTGAGCAAGAAAAATTTCTAAAAGCACAACTTTCCACAAATGATACACAAGTGACAAAACAAACATGAGCCGGGACCGGTTTGGCTCAATGGATAGAGCGTTGGCTTGGGGACTGAAGAGTCCCGGATTCGATTCCGGTCAAGGGCATGTACCTTGGTTGCGGGCACATCTCCAGTAGGGGGTGTGCAAGAGGCAGCTGATCGATGACTCTCTCTCATCGATGTTTCTAACTCCGTATCTCTCTCCCTTTCTCTCTGTACAAAATCAATAAAATATATTTAAAAAAACAAACAAACATGAAACAAAGTCCACTAATAATTTTTTAAAGCTAAACAAAATAGGAAGATACCTTTCTTACTTATGAAATCACTTTAAACTTTTTCTTCCTGAAACGCTTTTTGTTCCTTAAATATAGTCTGTGCTGGCAGGTATGTCACCACAGCACTGTCTCTCCTGCCGAGAATGTGGGCTGGCACAGCCTCCTCCGTGACAGAGAAGCCAAGAGGCGAGGTCTCCCCTGGCTGCTGCGCACACCGGTCTCACCCGGAGGGAAACACACACTGCAGAGGGCGTGCCACGTTCTGTCAAGTCCAAGCGAAAGTTTCTACAGGGAACACCCTCTCTGCCTCTCAAAGTAACAAAATATATGTATCAAGTGAAAGAGAAGTTGTGTTTCTACTTCTCTGTGTGGCCTGAGTGCCAGGGCCATTAGTAGCAGAATGTTACCACATCTCTGATACAACATTACTAAATCTTCAATACAGTGTTGGTGTATTTTCAAACAATGTTACTGCATCTCCGATACAGTGTTTCATCCGATAGGGCTGGGGTTTGAGAACTACCTCCATAAATGCATGAGGCTCATCCATGCACCCTGTCCCCCTCCTTCCCCCTCACCTCTACAAAATCACTGGCCCGCAAACATTAGGTCCAAGATAGCAGCTAGTCCTTGTCCTGACTTCTAATACCATAAAGGCCAAACCCTATGCATCAGCACGTAATGGAGTAGAATCTGCTGAATGCTAGTTTTGCAAAAGGCTGGTAAGAAATAAGGGCGTAGGAGTTCCCCAAGTTTTCAGAAACCTGGGTTTGCATAGTGTGGTCAGCCCCTCCTGTAGGGCCACTCATATCCTGGCACCACGAATCTCTCATGGCTCCCCAGGAGGACTGGAGCTCCGGGGACTGTGGTTGGGAAACGCACCCTCCAGGGGTGCTAACTGCAGCACTGTTCTGGTGTGGACCCAGCTCCCGCCTGCCACAGTCCCTGACCTGTGCTCTCCCTCCCCACCACCGACAACCTAGGTGTGTATGGTACAGCCCATGCGGTGCTGCCACCAAAGTGCCAACGGAAGCATCTAGCCCACTGTCTGGCACATGGGAAACCCTAAAAAAAATCTACTAAATTAAACGGACTGCTAACTAACCCAGGAAGCCTGAGAGGAGCACAGGAGTGGGCGGAATATAAGGGAGCAACTGCTTTGCCCCCCGAGCGGTGGGGTCTCAGGTGGGCAGAGAGGTGCAGGACAAGTTGTCAATGGAGGCCTGCCCTTCTGCTGGTGTGAGAGGCAGAAAAGCGCACCCCGAGGCCAACGCACCCCCTCCTTGAGGAGGGACCTGCACCTCTGCCAGCCCTCCCTTCTTCTCACACGTTTCCTCAGCCTTCCAGAGCGCTGACTGCAGGAGCTCCGTGTGTTCACATGGTAGCCAGTGAGTGACCCAGGGCCCCTGAAGCGACCCAGGACAGCTCAGGATGCTGACTCTACGGCAAAGGACCAATCGGATGTACAGAAATAGACTTGCGCTGAAACCGGACTGAAAGGTCCCTGGTTTGATTTCAGTCAAGGGCATGTACCTTGGTTGCGGGCACATCCCCAGTGGGGGACATGTAGGAGGCAGCTAGCCGATGCTTCTCTCTCAATGTTTCTAGCTCTCTATCCCTCTCCCTTCCTCTCTGTGAAAAACCAATAAAATATATATTTTTTTTAAATAGACTTGCCAGTGGACCAAGGTTAGAAATCCAAAAAGGAACCCCATGCTGCATGAGGAGAGAGCTCAAGACTTTCTCAAAGATTCAGGCCCTGTGGTGAAGGGACAACACTGGTGTCCAAACACATCAAATGCCAGTCACACCCAGAGGCACTGACAAGACAGCCTTCAAGAAGCTGGTTTAATTTCTGACTCCTCTGAACCAGGTGTGTATAGTCTGTGTTCCTTTCACAGCGTTGAAGGACAAGCATACGGAGGGGCAAGACCTCTATTTTCCCATAAGGTAATCCAACTCCGGCAGTTCCCGTCACGGATGGAGAAAACTTATTCCACGATAAAGGGCACGCTGCCCCCCACCTGACATCATGCCTGGGCCCGGCTCCCAGTACACCATCCCATGGTCCAATGCACTCAGTCAACAACAGCATCAGACAATATGTTTCATCTGCTCCTGTCCAAGCTCAGCCTTCAGGTCAAATTAGCAAAGGGAAGCAAGGGGCCCCCCCTCCGCAAAGGGAAAGGAGGAATCTTCAAAATGCTGTTTTCAACTTGCACTAAACAAAAATAAGCCCCTGCTGCCCCTCCCTGAAAAGTGGGCTCACCATGTGACAGACTCCAGATGTGACAGACTCCAGATGTGACTGACTCATGGCTCACCTTTTTAAAAACCCCAGGCAGGAGCAAAACTAACATCAAGGAAAAGTGAGTCAGAGGGGGCCGGGGCCTGGGCTGGACAGATGCACAGAGCAGACAGAACTTGTAGGCTCAGGACATTCACATCTTCATTATGATGGTGATTTGGGGGTGGGGGCTTGTTCATTAAAACTCATCAAATTTGGAATGGCAATTTTATTTAATGAAAATCATACCTCAATACGATTGACTTAAAAATCACGATTACTCAAACAGTGATCAAAAGTCCAAAAAAGGGGGCTGAAGTCCCCCTCCTAGCCTGGCACCAGCCCTCCCCTGAGCAGCCTTCCTGCTGACAAGAGCCATCTGGGACCTCCCGGACTGAGGAGGCAACATTCCAGATTTGGAAACCTTAGAATGAAGCTGTGAGACCTCTTCCCATTTCCTCTGAACATTCACCCTCCCAACTGTGACTGGCTTTCGGCAACTGTTAAAATTAACTTCAAGTTCCTTACTGGAATGCAAATGATTAAAAAAATAAATAAAAATAAATTTAAAAAAAAAAGAGGAAGTTGGGCTGGGAGGAGCAAGAAAAAAATAGCCTCTCAAGTATTAGCCAGAAAGTGGACTTCCTATTCAAAAAGTAAACAAAACCCCACACCCCGGAGAAAGCTGAAGGGGGTGGCCCCATCAGGCTCAGATGTCCCCTCCTGTGCGCTTGCTTCACTGGCCAGCGAATGCCCTCCTCACTGGCCACTGCGTTTTGTTCCTCAGGTTCGTTTGCTCTGTTGTTGACTCTCCCCTGGTCCCCCGTGCAAATTCCTTGAGGTCAGGGACCTGGGGCAAAGCAACTGACAGACACACCTGAGTGACAAGGTGTGAACACTCAGACCTGAGAGACCACAGGGAGATTGTCCACTCCGACCCCACCATTTTCCCTGGGAAACTGTCTCACCTATTTCACCACCTCCTTCTCACCAAGTCCAAACACCTCCCTGCCCCTGGCCTCCCTGGAGGAAGTCAGCCAGCTCTCAGGGAGCCAGCCCCATGGGGGGGGGGGGGACACACACACACACACACACACAGAGAGAGAGAGAGAGAGAGAGAGAGAGAGAGAGAGAGAGAGAGAGAGAGAGAATGAGCCCTGACTTACCAGAAGAGGATCCGCAAAATATTGGCCACCAGGAGCACCAGGCACACGTAAGTGGAGAAGCCCTCGGCGTTCTGAGTCCTCCGGATGTCCCGGTACTGCGGGATGTAGGGCACCACCCCTCCGAAGACCATGGCCCCGGCCGCCCCCCAGGAAACCAGCTGCTGCAGCGGGACCAGGAGCCAGTCCAAGCCTTGGACGTCCATCGCCGAGCCCCGCGCCGCCCCGCCAGCGGCTGGCGTCCCCCTGGCCGCTCCCCTCCGCTCCGCGGGCTCCTCCGGGAAGGCGCGCGGACTGTCAGCCCCACATGGCCGCCGCCGGAGCCTGGCAGGGGAGGAAAGGGAGAGAGCTGCGGCCGGGCCTCGGGCGCGGGGAGGCGGCGGCGCTCCGCGGGGACACCCGGCGGCTCGCGGGGCGCCCGGCTGGGGCGCGACTCCCGCCCCGGACACGCGCGCTCAGGGCGCCCGGGGCGCGCGCAGCAGCATCGCGGGGGGTCGAGGCGCGGACGCACGGCCCCGGGGGCGGCGGGCTCGGTCCGGAGGAACTCGATCTCGGAGACGGATCGGTCCCGGGGACCCTTCCAGTGTGGCTCTCGCCCCACGCCCCGCGCCCCGTCCCACGCGCAGCGCCGGTCGCGCCCCGGGCCTCACCAGCCGCGCCGGCTCCGCCCGTCCGGCCGGCGTCCGTCAGGCGGCCGGTCCGAGCCCGTGGCCCCGCCTCCCGTGACGTCATAATACAAGGCTCCGCCCCCGTCGCTGGGACGGGCGCCGGCGGGTCCTAGAGAGCGAATGGGGGCCGGGGAGGTGGCTCCCGGAGCGGGAAGGTGGGGGCGCGCACGGCGCGGCCGCCTTCCCGGTAGGAGATGCCGGCCCGGCTGAGCGGCTTTCTCCGGGGCAAGTGCCCGCGTAGACGGTCCCCCATGTCCCCGGGTGCGGGGGGTGGGGGGGCATGTAGGTTCGGCGCTCGGCCACCAGGAGCGGAGGAGGGAGTCCTGGCATCGCCCCGCGGGCAGCGCGTGGCCTGGGGACCCCGCTAATGGGGACGGGGCGGAGGGGGGTCGGCAGGGGACATCCCCTTTCGTGGGGACCAGGGGAGCGGCCCCCCGGTGACTCCAGGGCCACCCCCCCCCATGCGATTCTTCTCTGGCGGAGTCGGGGCCCCCATCCTGACCCAGCGGACACCCCGGAGTAGGGTCAGAAGTCCGGGGGTTTCCCCGGGTACGGTGGGCGACTCTTCTGGGGACAAAGCCTATAGCCGCCTGGGGTTCCCCGTGGTCCCGCATCGCAGACGCTGTTCCTGCTCCCGCTCAGCCCCGCCGGTGAGCGCCCGGGCCCAGGTGGGTGGTGCGGCAGAAGGACCCGGTGTGAAGCCTGGGACCTGACTGGGTGGGGCTCAGGGACCCCAGGACTCTCTCTGTAGAGGAGCCCCGTGAGGTCTCCCCTCAACCACAGCAGACCCTAAGCATTCCAGAAGGAAAGGCCTGGTGGATGAGCCGGTGTTTCTTTCTCTCAGAACAAATAAATTAATTCAATAAATTTAATTGAAAATTTAAAATATTGCATTAAAAATGAAATATGACACCTGGTCCCCATCTTCCCCTCCACCCAGGTCTGGCTGCTTGCTTCCTACGTGGTAGGCTCTGTGGGAAATCCTAACAGCAGGTACAGGCTGGCTAAGAGCAGCTCCCCAATAAGCCTGTGTGATGGGGTGGGGGTGGGGGGGCTGGAAAGAACCCAAGTTGCTGTCACTGCTCTGAAGCAGCCGTCTTCAATTCAGTGTCCACAGAAATGACAGAGCACACAGCACCGTGCATGAATAGGAAAACAAAAACACAACACAGAGAAGGAAGCCAGACTGGGCTGGAGAGGAACTAGACGTGTCCCTACTTAGCCACTTCCTCCCCCAGCTGTAAAGACTCTAGAATGTTCCCTCCTCTGTTCTGGAGGTTAGAGGAAGGACACAGGCTGCCCTTCTGGCACTGGAGCACCTGGGTCAGGCCGCTGACCCTGTTTTCCTGGCACGTATAGGCAAATTGGTGGCCAGCCCGCAGCCACCTGCTCCTCTGAGTCCATCAGGGTTTTGTGGGGGAGGGGAGCACCATCAGAGTCCACTCAAGTCTGGGCAGCCTTGGAAGCCTCGGGGGTTTGAGAGCCACTGTTTAAAAAAACAAAACAAAAACAAAAACAAAAAAAAACAATATAGGAAGTCCTCAGGACTCAGAATAATTTGCTTCCAGGAAAAAGGCCATTACTTTCAATGCGGCCAGAATTGCTACGTAAATAATTAAAATAGTTTAAAATAATTAAAAAGTTGCCGAAACCGGTTTGGCTCTGGATGGAGCATCAGCTTGGGGACTGAAGGGTCCCGGGTTCGATTCCTGTCAAGGGCATGTACCTTGGTTTCGGGCATGTCCCCAGTAGGGGGTGTGCAAGAGGCAGCTGATCGATGACTCTCTCCCATCGATGTTTCTATCTCTCTCTCTCCCTTCTTCTCTGTACAAAATCAATAAAATATATTTTTAAAAAATAATTAAAAAGTTTAAAAATAAGCGTTGGCCAGTTTGACTCAGTAGGTTGGAGAGTTGTGCAAAAGGTGGTGAGTTGGATTCCCATCAGGGCCCATGCCCAGGTTGTAGGTCCAGTCCCTGACCAGGGCAGCAACTGATCTCAATGTTTCTCTCACTCTCTCAAAATAAATAAATAAATAAAATAAATTAAATTGAAAAATTAAAATAGTTGATAATATTGTGTAGAGGGCCCCTTGGGAATGCACATGGATGGCCTTTAATTATCAGCTGAACTCAGCTGGGACTGGTTTGGCTCAATGGATAGAGAATCGGCTTGGGGACTGAAGAGTCCCGGGTTCGATTTCGGTCAAGGGCATGTGCCCTGGTTGCAGGCATATCCCCAGTAGGGGGTGTGCAGGAGGCAGCTGATCGATGACTCTCTCTCATCGATGTTTCTGACTCTCTATCTCTCTCCCTTCCTCTCTATACAAAATCAATAAAATATATTTAAAAAATAATAATAATTATCAGCTGAACTCGGGCATAGGCAGAGCCACTCCCTGGGAACATGTTTCCCCAAAATGTGGGAGACTGTTATCAGTACTGATTTTTTATCTTTACCCATGTGCTTGGAATGAGGAACAAATAGGGCCTTGACTTACCCAGGTCTTGATATGCTAAATCCCAGGAATGAGGGAATGAATAGGACCTGGGCACACCCAACACTTCTTTGACCTTAAACCCCCCTCTGGAAATCAATAAATGCGCTGTGTGGTCTGTGGTGGGTGTTGACTGTCCCTCTATCAGAGTGACAGCCTCTACCGGCACTCAGCTTTTGGATCTATTTCTGCCTCTTGTCTCTTTCTTTCTTTTATTTCTCAATCCCCAGTCCTCCACTCAGGAACCTGTCCTCCCCTTCCGTGCCGGACGCAGAAAAAGGAGAAGCACCCCACCTCAATATTGCATTAAAAATGAAAGCTAAAATTACGAAAATATTGCAAATATTTTAAAATGAGAAGCAGAACTGCCAGCATGGCTCAATGGTTGAGCATCAACCTATGACCCAGGAGGACACGGCTTGATTCCACGTCAGGGCACGTGCTTGGGCTGTGGGCTTGATTCCCAGCTGATCAATGATTCTCATCATTGATATTTCTATCTCTCTCTTCCTCTCCTCTCTGAAATTAATAAAAATATTTTTTTAAAAAAAGAAAAGCAAAAAAATTTTATACTCAAGTCTATATACCCAGATCTATATCCCCAAAGAAACCCCCCCCCTTTTTTTTTACAGAACATTTGAGAATTTGCAAACATACGAAAAAGTAGAGATTTAGCACACTGAGCCTAGGTGTCCCTCACCCACATTAGTAACTATAAGGGAGCTTTTAATGAATATAAAATAAAAATTAAACAGAATAATCTAATTAACATTATTTCTCCCTTTTCAGCCATAACAGTGAATCTTAAAATCAGCAGCATCTTGCCAAGACCAGTTTGGTTCAAAGGATAGAGCGTCGGTCTGCGGACTGAAGGGTCCCGGGTTCAATTCCAGTTGGGGGCATGTACATTGGTTGCAGGCACATCCCCGGTGGGGTGTGTGCAGGAGGCAGCTGGTCAATGTTTCTCTCTCATCGATGTTTCTAACTCTCTATCCCTCTCCCTTTCTCTCTGTAAAAAAAAAAAAAAAAAAAAAAAAAAAAAAAAAAAAAAAATCACCAGCATCTTACATTAAAGGCCTTGGAAACAAGACTGCTGAAATCAGTTTGGCTCAGTGGATAGAGTGTCGGCCTGCGGATTGAAGGGTCCCACGTTCAATTCCGGTCAGGGGCATATGCCTTAGTTGCAATCACATCCCCGGTGGGAGGTGTGCAGAAGGCAGCTAATCGATGATTCTCTCACATCGATGTTTCTAACTCTCTATCCCTCTCTCTTCCTCTCTATAAAAAATCAATAAAATATGAGTGGGCAGGGCGGGCGAGGACAAACTCCTGACTCCACTGTGGGGCAGGGCAGAGTTATCCTCCATTTTGTAACTGAACCCTAGCTCTCACCCAACCAATCAGGGTTAGCCGAGGCAGTGACATCACCACCGACCCGAGTAAAACCCCTGGGCTGGGCAAAATTCGCTCTCTCTTCCGCCATGCTGACGGTGTGAGTGGGACAGAGCCCATGCTAGCATGGAAAAGGCTCTTTTGTTTATTGCATCGGACTCGGCTCCCTGGTGGTCCTTGGGAATTGCGAAGTCTGGGCGTAACAAAATATATTTTTTTAAAAAGAAAGAAATAAGACCATCACATGGACTCCAGCAAGGGGCATTTCCACTGACATTTACTCTTCACAGAACAGAGTTTCCTCATGGTCAAAGTAATAGTGATAATGATAGGAAATAAGTAGAGAGTGTTACCATGTAATAGCAATAGAAAATAATTAAAGACTGTTATAGGAAATGTAGAAAAATTATTTTGTGTGAAATATTAAAAAGCACGGGAAATGACCACTGTGGCCAAGCCCTAACTGCACCATGTAGATAAGACCATAGCTGAATGCTACCCTTAGGAATGACATATGTAAACCTGATAGACACCTTCTGAGTGACACTGTGATTGATAACCAGCTTGTACTCTGATTAACACTTGTGTGATGAGGAATGTTACTGATAGCCACCTGGACAGGCGTGGGTCAGAACAGGCTTAAAAATGA